TTACAATCCATCAGCATTTAGTTTTATTCACTTTGTTGTCATAAATGTATTGATGAGGTGGACTGAACAAAAGAATGTTAGAAACCCCAATAACGAATTGCCTAACATTTCAAAATTCTGAAAAAAAAAATGTTTTACATTAAACGTTAGACAGAAGCCGTTATCAATGCAATTTCTGGTAATGGAAAATAATCTGTTTATACATTTTTAGACGATATTTTGCTTTATATAGGGAAACAATGTTAAAATCAATGTAGTAATAATAGGTCATATATTATATGTTTCTTCATGTTTGCTTTTGACATTTCCTTTAAAATTCATGCATAGTTAAATTTGACGACACTTCACCAACACAGAGTTATATTTTTCCTACTTCCGAAATAAAAAAATTATGCTGATAACTGATTGTAAACAAAACTGAGCGATTATCAGTTATCTTCTCGAAAATTAGTGCCAATTTTATTCAGTATGAATTATGATTCTTATCGACTTTTTAACATAGTTAAAGAGACAATGTGTATGAATTATGACAGGCTAAGGTATATGTACAACTGTGTTAACACAATGTCTCCCCACTTATTATTACTAAGTATTTTGAAATTATATCTGATATATTGTAAATCTAATGGCTTAATGTTGTAAAGAACTTCAAAGTTTTGTTGTGTGTCCCTTATATATATATATATATATATATATATATATATATATATATATATATATATATATATATATATATATATATATATACATATGTGCTAGGTTAAGATACATTTAAATATTTTAACATAGCTTTATTTATTATTTGATTTCAAGCTATGAGTGTATTACTTTTTTATTCCATAGAAATTTGATTATTTGAGAAAATTGCTTAAAACTTTGACAAAACAGCTTCCCTGAATATTTTTACACATTTAAAGCTACAAATGGTGCTGAAATTGAAGATGGAAACGTGCTGAAATTGAAGATGGAAACAGAGCTGAAGCTTACGTCCTCGCTACGTAGCTTTAATCATGATTCCTCACATAAAATGAAAAAAAGTGTCGAGAGAAAAAAAACACCATGCAATTGATCTGCTCCCAGACATTAATCCATAAAGTCATGCATCCAACTTCAGATACAGATATTTAATTGCATCACAATCGTTTAAATATAGGTTTTACATCCATGCATGGTTGCATTTTATAATTTTGTTTATAATTTTCATTAAAACCTACCATATACAGCCGCTTGTGTTGTTTAAAATGGCTGATTCAAAACATTTCTGAATTGTCGGCCGTTGCCATGGATGTATCATAATATGATCCATCATTATATTTTGCTTTATTATTTTGTAAGAAATTAGGTTATCTCAAAATTTAAAAGACGTAAAGGTCTAATTGTCACCTTAAAAGAAATTATCATTATTCCTTAATTAACTATTTCTAATATGCCACAGAAATATTACTGCATTTCATTTTTCAAAGAAGAATATTATAACAATAATGCGAGTAAGATGATATCTCTAAAGCACATGCACTCGATGTTTTATATTTTTCTTATTATAATATAAAAATATTTTACCCCATAATGGTATGGGTTTATTTTTCTTTTATAAGAGAAATGTGAAACTTGAAGTGCCTTGCTCTTGTTGAGGTTTCACAGAGAAATATGCGCGCCATTTTAATGGATATGTCATACTGATCCCGTTAATAATTGGATTTTTCAGGGGTAGGGCTCAGGGACATATATTAGATACTTCCTTTCAAATATAGAAGACACATCTTACACTTTCCAGCTTTATCGTTGATTGTTTTTCATAAAATAAAGCAAGAAGAAGAGGGCGGCACAACTAATTAGAAAATTAGCTGTTATAAATGGGAAATTAGTTTATGTTCGTTGTTTGTCACCAAAATTGATTGCATGTCAATTTAAAAAAAAAAGAATCATTTTTTCAAAATAGAATTAACAATGTTTTTGTTGCCAGGGATCGACTTTTAATAATTCGAGGTTACATTTCATAAAAGTAACTCTATGATTTAATGTCATTAACATTTTTAATATATATATATATATATATATATATATATATATATATATATATATATATATATATATATATATATATATATATATATATATATATATATATATATATATATATATGTGTGTGTGTGTGTGTGTGTGTGTGTGTGTGTGTGTGTGTGTGTATTAAAATTACAGATACTTGTTTTTTTCTCACACAGTTTTGCCTAGGTGTGCCGCTTCGAATATGACCGCATATTAAATATCGTCTCCTTCCTCCTTCCCACAAGTTCAAGCAAGTTCACCTACATTCATGTCAAGGTAAATTTAAAATACTAGTAATTAATTAATTTACTATAAAAATAATTTTTATGTGTGATGGAATAAATCGTGAGAAATTTAATTCTATTCTAAGAGGATGTTTAGAATAAGTTCACAGAAAGGGGACCAGTTGCTGTAATTTGATGAAAACATTATGAAATTGTGTGTCAAATTAGTTTGGTACTGCGGTCATGTACACGTAAATATGCGCATGCGCAGCTGATGGATAACCCCTGTATGAATTCTATCGAGTCACAAACCACAACATTCATAGTAAACTTGATTTTCGATAATGTGAAAATCATCAAATCCAATTTTATTAAACAAGTGAATTTAATAATCTGAAATCGGTTTGGATAACAGATCAACCAGCTGTATGTTTTCAACTTCTTCATTCTTGGTACTGGGGCTCAATTTGTGAAATTGTGAAATATAATAAAGATAAAAGTATTAGGTTTCCTAAAAAGCTTGTCTGACGAGAACAAATTAATTCATTTTTATGCGAAATAAGGGCGTAGGAACTGGGGAGGGGGGAGTTAGAGTCCGCTCCCACTCCATGGATTTTGTCGATATATAATGTACTATAGATATAGATCTTTTTTGCTTGTGTCCCCTAAATCATGTAAATAATAAAGCTTAAGTCTGAAAACTTTTTTCGCCTGATAAGGATTTTTTTCTTGATAGCCCCCCCCCCCTTAAATGAAATGTTTTGCTTGTGCACCAGGCCTGTTCCTAGATACATAGATATAATCATTGCTTTTGAGAGAAAAAGTTACAACACATAAAAACTAAACATCAATTAGTGAACAGTTTTGTGTAATTATGAAATTTTATTGAATAAGCTTGTTACAAATGAGCCAACATCTTTGCATTTAGCAAAGGAATGTTCATCATCTATCTTTCAGTTGGATTTTAAAAAAACTTTATATGAATAAATCAAACCTCTGCAAGTTTTGAATATGTGTTGACTCTATAAAAATTCTAAAGGTAGAGAGATTTAGTATCCATTGAAACAAACATCCATTAGTTAATCAGACATTAAGGATATTCAACAAGTGTTGAACTGACCAGCTTCATTCCTGCTATTTCGCTACGAATGATGCATTCGAGAATGGCCAAAAGTTACGTAACCTGTAGTGTATAATGTGATAATAATGACATCAAGTCCAATGATTTGGCTTAAAATTGTATGGGTGTTTAACATGTTTCCATTAATCCTCATACTATGAAATTTCCAAGATCGAGTTATCACAAGAATTTTGTTGAACGCCTTGTCCAACAAGGCTTTGCTAAATCTTGCAGGTTGCACAACAGTATTAAATTTTGCTATATATTCTTACCAAAAATGCGCAACTTTGAGTAGGTGGTATTAATTGAAAACAAACTTTTGAGAAGTTTCCTTTTCAGATCTTGTAAAACAATTCTTTATAAAGATTTTAGTACCAAAAAATACATAGCCATCCAGCAAGGCACGCAAGTTTGTCTCGCTCGAAGTCGAGCAGGTGCTTGAAAATCAAGTCTAGGACCTAATCACTCCCCACTCAAATACAGTATATAGAAAATTCAGCACTCACTAAATTTTAATGAATCTAGTCAATATAGGAAGTTTACATATTGTTTTTCATCTCAAAAAAAAAAAAAAAAAAAAAAAAAAAAAAAAAAAAAATTCAGCTCCAGTCTCGTGTTAAAATGTCCGAATCGGAAGGGAAGATTCAGGAATTATTTTGCGTCAGCCATGATTTGACGTGAACCTCAAGTGAAATACTGTTATGACACCAGTACTGTCTGACGCCAAAACGTTAGACAATGAAGAACATGTGTGTGGAATTAGAAATCATTTAATAAGATCGGTTTATTCATTGTGCTTTGAATCATCAATGTACATGAATATAGAAGAAATTTTTTGTCCCATTTCACATCGAATCCATATGACACTCGTTCTGGATTACTAATTCTTCTTTCTTCATAGATATTGGCGTTTGTGATGATCTAAGGTTGTGTAAAATAAAGTCTATGCTATACTTTCATTCAATGCAAAATATGGATTAAAATCAATCAAATCCACTAAATATATCCTTGACATGGTTCCATTGTGTTATGTACTATAAACGGCACTCTCTGTTTATCTGCCTGAAAATTTAATGAGCAATTTTAAAGAATAAGAGCATAAACTAACGATATATTTTTTTTAGTAATATACGATATCAAAGATATCCTATGAGTTAAACTGATAAAAGATAGAATGATCAGTGATCTTTAGAAGATGGCTTGGAGATGAAATTGAAATATTCATGAGAGTAATCTGATACCACACAATCAAGTCAGCTTTTATGCGCAGTTATTTAATATATATATATTCTTTTACACAAAATCTTATTATTATCAAGTAAAATGGCTTAATTAAGCTATATTTATTTTTATTTTTACAAGTTAATACAGTACTAGTAAGCCTTCTTTAAATAAAATTATTTCAGCATCAAAATTATGCGGATAAAATATACAAAGTCACAAGTATATACTTTTATACAGAATATGTAAATATTACATACATATACATTTTTTCTACAAATGCCAAAAAATTAATATCAATGAATTGAATTATTGAATGATAGTTTGAAAACCGTGAAAACTACACTGTAAGTTACAAAATACAATTAAATATTAGGGTATGTAAATCATAGAAAAGGATAAAATGTTAATACTTTTGAGAACTCAGAAAGTTTGATTGCGACAAGGTCATACCGCGGTGCCCACGACTTCGTCGCTTGACTCTTTGTTTATCGGACAATGCATACACCAGCTTGTCCCAGAACAACCTATCATGTGTTTCTAGGTAAGTAATAGTCTTCAGACATCTCTTAATGTCACTGTCTAATTCTCCATGGGGCAAATCCCCCATAACAACAAGTATCATGTGTCGTCTTTTTTCTATTAAACTCTGATGAAAAGCCGTTCTGAATTCCATCAAGCACCATTCACTTCTGACAAAGTTAGTGGATATAACAAGAATAGTATGCCTGCTACGTTCTATGCTATCTATGATATTTTCTGCAATAGGCGCTCCTACTGTGAAATCCCTTTGATGGAGACACAATTGGAACTTCTGTTCATGCTTTTGAAGTTTGGTTTCCAACTGCCAGACCAAATTTTTTAAAACCCACTCAGAGTCATGTTGACTGTAGGCAACGAAGGCGTCGAACTTTTTGTTTTCAGAAAAATCTTGCTGCTGGCATGGAAAGACAATATTAAATCTAGTAAAAGCTAGAATTTTTATTTCTACTCTGTACCTGATAATTATAATCAGACATACTAGTAGAAGAAAGACCAAAACACATAGAATTATAATGGGGCCACTTTGGAATACTTTGATTTCTGTTTCACACCCCAACTCCACATCCGTCAAAGTGATCAATTTTCGTCCAGACACTAATTTTGGACTCGAACATTTTAATCCTTTTAAATAAGAATATCCAGGTTTATGTTTTAGCATTGGTATCGAGGTGTTCAATAAAACATTTTTTGCTGCGAGCATTTCACATCCGCATGAAAATGGATTGTTTCGCATATCTAGATAAAATGATGTATGTTTTCTAAAGAAATCTTCCAGTTGATAATTTGATAAACCTGTCAGATTGTTGTGCTGTAAATTTATGACACCTTTGTTCGCACTTCCAGGATCAAAGTCGATGATTGTACTTAAATCGTTGATATGATTGTAGCTCATATCTAAAATTTTCAGTTTGGGAAAATGCAAACGCCAGTGGCGGAAATATGGAGGAATATTACGAAGACCGGTGTTCGAGAAATTCAGAATCTCTAAATTTGGGTAAGAATTGCCAATGAAGTTTTCAAAAAATGTTGCCCCCAAGTTACCATTCCTACTCCTATCATACACAATCAAATTCTTATACTGACAACTGACCGTATTAGCCGCCATAACGGTAAGATTTTTCGTATATAGTTTTGCAAGGTTATCAAATTCCTCCAATGGTAAAGACTTCGATCCGTAAAAAGTCTGTATGATGTTAATGTATGCGTAAACCTTGGCGTTTTCTGGCCCGCACAGAGAAGCACGCGTCAGCAGGAAAGCGCTAGATTTTAATAGGTATTCGAAATAGTTCCTGTCGTTAATAATGACACAATCTGTCATCTTAAAGTATTCAATCGTGTCTGGCATCTCATCAATTTTATATTCATAAGCTTCTGTATAATGGTCTACAATGAAGCAAGCCTCCACAACCAAATAACGTACGTTGTTGGCTCGCATTGGCCATGGCAGAGAAACAGTGCCATTTCCACTGCAAGAGAGACTTAGTCCAATATCTATCCCTGTCAGTTCCGATATCTCCTTGACCATGAGACGAAATGACTTAAATGACCAAATATTCTCTTTTTCAATTTCACAAGTGATCATAATGGCGAGGGAGTGGTGAACTGATACAGGATCTGGAAGGCGGCCAGGTGTGCCGAGGACGCAATACCAAGGCGACATGTATCGGTCAAAAATCCCCTTCATACGTAATGACAGGTATTTCTGTGACGATGTATTTAATATTAAGGTATGTAAACTGTTGGATTCCGTCACGTGTAATTTTCCTAACTTTTTCCCTAGAAACTCTCTTTCAGTTTTGTGTGAAGAAGTTAATTTATTAATGTTGTGAAACAGCAGGAAGATGAGATACACTGGAAAATTCATCATGCTCTGTATGTCCTCTTATAAATTTTGTTTAACATAAAGAACAAGTCAACTGAGTTGTGTTTTACATTCTCTGCACTGAAAAAAAACAAATACATTAAGTTATCATGCTAATTAAAAATATTCAATGTTGTAACATATCTGATAAACACACTTACAAATACATTTTTCCCAACAACTTAAATATACGATTAGAAATTGAAGCCAAAGCATGTTAGTTTAATTTAATTAGATTTATCAAACATTAAAAAATAGTTCACAAAATCCTTAAAGTATAACGAAATAAAAATCTAAAACCACTGTGAAAAGATGACACGAAACTGACCTTTGGAGCAAGGAATGGGAAAGTAGCACCTAAGACACTGCGCGCCGATCTCCGGAGAAAGTGTGAAGAAGAGTTGGTCCTGAGTTAACGACTTGGTGCTTATTACGAGAAATCAATAGATGCAGAATTATGTAGAGATGCATGGCCGAGGGCTTGGATCGGGATTAAATGACTCTATCCGGTAATGGTGTTAGAAGTACGCATCTTTAATACTGTTGTAACACACGAAAAATACATTTCAGAGATTTACAGTTTGATCGGTTGTTATTTTCCCGCCAAATCGCTAGATTTATGTAAAAATGAATTCCGGCGCAACATTTTATCATAAATTGCTGAATTAGAAGGCCACAGAAATAGGGCGTTGTGCTGTCGAAAAGGGATTATTTGTGACACGATGGATTGTTTTTTATCACAAAAAATGAAATCCATAAAATTTAGATATTATTGGCTTATATCAGTAAAAAAGAATATTTTATCTTACATTTTACTGAAATTCGCTCCACCGCCTTAGACCACCAGTTCAGTAATTAATGTCATCAATACAAAGATAAATGATCGTTATACGTACTACTTATGCAGTGGTCCATTTTCAGCTCTACTGGCCAAAGACCAGAATAGAGCTTACATGTATGCAATGGTAAGGTATCCAACTTCTGTGTGTGTCTTTTAGCAATTTTCAAAATGCTAATCTTCATTTTGGTCCTATATCACTAAAAACATAGTACAAAAGGAGATTTTCATAAGATTCATAATTTTTTTTTATTTCTATAAACTTTGTTGTTATTGTTGCTTAAAAATAGAGAAATTTCTATTCTCAAAACTCTATTCCACCTACAGTTTCGCTTTGATGTTAATAGATAAAACTTAGTTTTTGTTTGTTTGTTGTTTAACGTCCATCTCGAGAATTTTTCACTCATATGGAGACGCCACCACTTGCCGGTGGAGAGCTGCAAATTTTGACCTATACTCGGCACTTAGGGCCATTGAACAGTGAGGGATCTTTCTTGCCAGCATTTACTGTGACACAGGGCCTCGGTGTATACAGTCTCATCCGAAGAACGGGTGTCCACGTCCCACAGTGGGATTCGAACCCGCGACGTAAGGATCAACTCCTTACTCCGCGACTCTAGAACAAACGCTCTAACCACTGCACCAAGCGGGGTACGATAAAACTTAGTACACAAGGAGACAACACTAAGAATATCAAGTATCGGTGTAGCCTTGATTATTGCATTGATAATAATTTAAAAAAAAACGTCAGATATCTACTTTTAAAAGACAACTTCTATAATTTTAGCATGAATTCAAGAAAACTAGTCATACAGTAAGATTGAAAATATTAAACAGGGATCATAATTCTATTTATTGGTGTTGCTGTAGCTGCAAGTCCTAGTGCTGCTTTTCTCTTACTGTGTAGCTACAGTCTCGTCAGAAACTTCTTGTTTCTACACTTCAAAGTCACGAACTCAATATTAAGAGAATTACAGAATAAACGGTAGCCTTAGAAAACTCGGTCATTAGTTAGAAATTGAACGTTCTATTGCATTACAAGGAGACGATTTCATTCTGCCTTGGTCTAGGTTCAGATAAGAAATTTGTGATTTGCATATGAATTATCTGTAAATGATCTTCAAACTAGCTCACAAGCAAAACTAGTATTAATTGTAACGGGGACCGTTACAGATGTTCCCCAAACGCTCCCCAACTTCCTTTTGGTGTCTTATTCCCTGTAAGCTTCATTAAATAAGGCAATCAAGTATACTGGGTATTTTACGCATTACACGCGCGCGCACGGGCATGTATGTACAAAATGACCATGTCAACTTGTCTACACTTTTAATACATCTTTATATTTAAATTTCATTAAAAGATTTTAAAAAATCGGCTATATTAAGTATATCTGTCATTTTACGCATTGCATGCGCGCACGTGCATGCATGTCCATGATGACCGTGTCATCTTGTCAACACTATTAATATATCTAAATATTTTTGGTATCAAATCATTTCATCAAAAAGTATAAAAGATACAGCTATATCAAGTATATTGGTCATTTTAACATTGCATGCGCGCGCACGTGCATGCATATGCATGTTGACAATGTCGTCTTGTCTACATTTATAATTTGTCTATATATTCTGAATATCAAAGCATTACATCAAAAAATGGAAAAGTTATGGCTATATCAAGTATATTGGTCATTTTACTCACTGCACGCGCACGCACGTGCATGCAAATGCATGCATGTGCGCGCTGATCATGTCATCTTGTCTACACTTCTAATATATATTCATATTCTGAGTTTCAAAGCAATTCATCAAAAAATATACAAGTTAAGTCTATATCATTTGTATAGGTTATTTCAATCATTGCGCATGCGCACACGTGCATGCATATGCATTCTGACCATGTCATTTTGTCTACACTATTAATATATCCTGATATCCTGAGTATCAAAGCATTTCATCAAAAGATATGAAAGTTATGGCTATATCAAGTATATTTGTCATTTTACTCATTGCACGCGCACGCACGTGCACGCACGTGCATGCATGTGTGCGCTGATCAAGTCTTCTTGTCTACACTTCTAATATATATTTATATTCTGAGTGTAAAAGCAATTCATCAAAAAATGTCCGAGTTAAGTCTATATCAATTGTATTGGTTATTTCAATCAATGCGCATGCGCGCACGTGCATGCATATGCATTCTGACCATGTCATCTTGTCTACACTATTAATATATCCTTTTATTCTGAGTATCAAAGTATTTCATCAAAAGATATGAAAGTTATGGCTATATCAAGTATATTGGTCATTTTACTCATTGCACGCGCACGCACGTGCATGCACGTGCGCGCAAAATGACCTTCGTTCCGCAAATCTACATAACATTCCTATTAACCCTAAAAAGGTTTCAACTCAATCGGATGTATAGTTTCGGAGATCACTCACGGACAAAAAAGTACCCAGGAAGAAAAATAATAATAATAACTAGATACTTATTGCCTAGGCAATAACAGGTCTTCCGTTTTCTTGACTTCTTCGAAAAAAACCCACAATCTTGCCAATAAGATTACTCTAAATAATTAACAAAAGTCATCTCAAGGCTTCCAAAGATATGTAAATACAAATAAAAACAAACGGAATTACTTTCCTGTTTTCTTTATGTACTTCGTCATGAACGAAAGTGCTCCAAACGAATAAAATGTTCATTCTACACCTTAATTATTCACAACTGATCCTCCCTAAAAGTTTCCATGAAAAACTACTCATGTTTGAGACAACTTCCGGTTTTTCGGTTTGCACTTCCGGTGATAATAAATTGCATGGTTATGGTTTATCTAACATGCGCATTAGCCAAACATTTCTGTAAAAAGAAAAAAACTGTAACAATTCACTTTTCTGCATCGCTTCCTGTCAAGACCGGAAGTGACGGCAACGTACGATTTTTACATGATGTAGATAAACTGAGGACTGACTATCAGTTCTGAAAGTTTTAGACTTCAGCAATGTACTGTTTCTGAGCAATTTGGTAAACAAAATCTCAATTTGAGGATAGAAAAACACGCGACCGGAAGTGCATTTTCCTAAGATGATTAACGTCACACTAGACAATTGCAATCTCAATAACATATATAAAAATCATTTCAAAAAACTTTATCTATAAGCAATAGTTTTGGGAAAGATAAAAATCCCAATTACATGTACATAGTTTTCTCTTATAACCGGAAGTTGTCGTTTTTTGTTTCCAGTGAGACCAACAAATATAGAAACTGTGAAAGAGATTCAATTATATGATGCAAGTTTTATTTCAAAAGACAGAAGTTGAAATTTTTGATTTCTTTGATCACTTCCTGTGACGACCAGAAGTGACGCCTGACGCTATTAACCCAAATAGTTTTGCCTACTCCTTAAATTCTATTACTCCTATAAGTTTAGTGTCTTAATCTCTTACTGTTTTTGAGATCTCACTTGCACAAATTCTAATTTTGCGGACAGTAAAACACGCGACCGGAAGTGAATTTTACCAAGATATTTGACGTTACTCTAGACATTTGCAGTCTAAATAACATATTAAAAAACCATTTCAAATACTTAATCTATAAGCGATATTTATGGGAAAGTAAAATGCTCAAATTATGTAGTTTTTCGCTTATAACCGGAAGTTGACGTTTTTGTTTCCGGTGGGACCAACATATTTCAAAACTGCGAAACAGATCCAATAATGCCATGCAAGATTAAATCCAAAAAAGAAAAGTTGATATTGTTGATTTCTTTGATCACTTTCTGTGACGACCGGAAGTGACGGCTGACAAATTTAAACATATTCTGCAAAGGTACTTGTCATGATCTATAATCCCTGAAAGTTTGAGGTCTTAATCTTTTACCGTTTCTGAGATATCGTCCGGACATGATCTCTTTTGAAAAAAACGAAAATTGGACATATCTGACGACCGGAAGTGAATTTTGCAAAATCCTTAAAAATGTTTTTAGTTTATTTTATTTTTCATAATCCCTGAAAGTTTCAAGAAAATCCATCGAGCCATCTCTGAGAAATCGCTTGGACAAAAAACGGGAAAAAAATAATAATAATAATAAACAGTAGAATCACTATAAGGTCTTCCGTCTGAAACGGAAGACCTTAATAATAATAAGAAACAGAGTAAAAACAA